ATAATTATTATGGTTATAAAGCTATTAAAATAAATTTATAGAGTTGACTTAAAGTCCTCTTAATATGCAGAAACTTGGGACGATTTCAGCTTAAAATCAGAAGTCTAATAATTCAATTATTCATTTTTAATTGATTTTCAAAAACTGTTACTCTAATAGGTTAGATTCCTTCAATATTAATAGTACAGAAAAGACCAAATATGCACAAAAATATGAAGAACGTGTCTTCAATACTTTAAACCTTTCTATATTTAATTTTTAAATCCTCCCAGAGTTGAATGACACATATTTACCAAGGAAGAAAATTAGCTGGAAAGGGCCAGGCGCGGTGGCTCAGGCCTGTAATCCCAGCACTTTGGGAGGCTGAGGTGGGCAGATCGTGAGATCAAGAGATCTAAACCATCCTGGCCAACATGGTCAAACCGCATCTCTACTAAAAAATACAAAAATTAGCTAGGCGTCGTGGCGCATGCCGGTAGTCCCAGCTACTCGGGAGGCTGAGGCAGGAGAATTGCTTGAACCCAGGAGGTGGAGGTTGCAGTGAGCCGAGATCGCACCATTGCACTCCAGCCTGGGGCCTGGCAATAGAGCAAGACTCTGTCTCAAGAAAAAAAAGAAAAAGAAAGAAAATTAGCTGGAAATAACTGAGGCCATTTTCAATCAGATATTTTGACAGTTTCGGGCTCCAGAGCAATTTTCATCCTCCCAGATGTCATACTGACCCCCTTTTTCGAGTAGCTATGTTATGAGTTACAAAAATTAAAAAGGGTAGATCACCCTATGAGTTACAAAACTCATAGGTTTCATTGCCTGTATCCCTGGATGCAAGTTATACACAGTACCTGATTCTTGATCTGCTCAAGGAAATAGATCAACCAAGTTGCTTCTTCACCGTTAAGATAGGTTTTCCATCTAAATGTTAAAGACCTTTGAATTTGATGGAGTTCTGAGATACTGTTTTTCTATCTAATACCTTTAAACTTGATAGCCTAAAATAAATGCATTTTCTGTTTAATGATAAAGATCTTTAAATGGGATACTAGATATGAACATCTCTTTCCTATTTCTAAACAACATTAACTTAGGCTAGGTGCAGTCACCTGTAATCCTAGCATTTCAGGAGGCCAAGATGGAAGGATCACTTGAGACCATGAGTTCAAGACCAGCCTGGGCAACATAGTGAGAGCCTGTCTCTATAAAAAACAATTTTTCAACATTAACTAGTTATGGTGGTGCAGGCCTGTAATCTCAGCTACTGAGGAGGCTGAGGCAGGAAGATTACTTGAGCCCAGGAGTTGGAGGATGCAGTGAGGTATCATCACACCACACACTCCAGCTTGGGCAACAGAGCGAGACCCTTTTCCAAAAAAATAAAAGAACTGTGAACTTGATAGAATCCTACATTCTTCTCAGGACCACACAAAGGTTTAGATGTTTAAATGATCTCCAGTTGAGTTTTGAATATCCTTCTTGATCAAGCTAAGTCTGAGTTGCTGTTATAATATAAGGTCATTTTTCTGCGAGTTTTGGGGAGTGGGAAGGCAGTTGAGATAGTTCTCATCTGATGGCTTTATTTTTTCTCTATGAATTAGGATGTGAAGTTGTCTGTTGAAGGAGGTGGGACTTACAGGGCAGGGAGAGTGAGAAAAAAGTTTTAAAATTCCTCTATTGGTAATAGGCAATCTGAGTAGCTCTATGCTGCCTGTTGTAGAGTCTCCTGATTGTGTGACATTAGGTCCATTTAAAATGGAATAAGTATTCATGCTGAGATATAATAATCATCTTTAACATTTAGTCTATATGTTTTACATTAAATATGTGTACTTACTCATTTATTTTCCATTTGATAACAACTTTTTTTTTTTTTTTTTTTTTTAGACAGAGTCTCACTCTGTCACCTAGGCTGGAGTGCAATGGCGTGATCTTGGCTCACTGCAACCTCCACCTCCCGAGTTCTTTCAATTCTCCTGCATCAGCCTCCCAAGTAGCTGGGACTACAGGCACAAGCCACCATGCCCAGCTAACTTTTTATATTTTAGTAGAGACGGGGTTTCACCATGTTTCTCAGGCTGGTCTCGAACTCCTGAGCTCAGGCAATCCACCGGCCTCAGCCTCTCAAAGTGCTGGGATTACAAACATGAGCCACTGCACCCAGCCAACAAATATTCTTTATAGCTGATCAAGAAGTCACAGTTCAATGTCAAAGGACTTTATTAATAAAGCAATTGAAGTAGTCACTTATACAGCAAAAAGCTCTAGACTCGTTTAACATTTATTTCCATTTGCTAGTCAATTACAAGCTGTCAGAGCATAATAAATATTATAAATTTGAGTCAGAAGCTGTCATCTCTAATTGTATTAACTCTTCCTAATCATAGGTAGTGATTTGTCCTGTGAAAGAATGATATTAATCACTGACTTCCATCTGTCTTCATAACAGTGTAAAATTGCCACTGGATTCCATTGCTGAAGTGAAGAAAATCAATGTAGACACCAAAAATGAAAGCAGGCAGTGATGACTCATGAATATTTCCATTCATGTTAACAAGATTCTCATTGTTTCCAGACAGAAAGAAAAAAAATGACAGCTAACTTTCAAAGCTTTCTGCTTCTTAGTCCTAAAAGTATAGTTTTTTCTTATCATTATTTCTAGCTCTCACTTACGGAGTGCTTCTTATATGCCAGGCACTATGCTCACAACTTTATGTAAATTACCTCTTTTAATCTTCACAACCACCCAGTGAGGTTCTTGGTTCTTACACTCATGGCACTTACACTACTATACTTTGCATTTTATAATAAAGAAATGAAGGTGTAAAATAACTTGAGTAATTTGTTGTCCAATACGGCAGAGCCTGGAGTCAAATCCAAGCAATTTAACTTCCATAACTTAATCTCAACTAGTACTCTACACTGATGGGTAGTATTTGAATCAGGTAGGAATGCTTTTGAGTCGAAGTAACTAAAATCCAACATACAGTAGTTTACAAAATAGTGATTTTCTTTTCTCTCACTTCATAGAAAGAATGGAAACAGGCAGCTACTGTTGGTTTAGGAGGTCAGCAGAGCCAGGACAAGTGACTGTGATTTCTTGACCGTTCTCCTTGTGGCAGCAAAAATGACTGCTTCAATTTTAAACTTCATATTTGAAAAAGAGAAGGGGAAAGAGTGGGGACTCGCTGTAACTATTATGAAAGCAAAAACTTTTCCATTTATATATCTCATGTTTCACATGATCATCCTTATCTGCAAGGGTAGAAAACAGCAAGGAGTAGGGAGTTGGAGATGACTGACGGACCAGCTGCGGGTCAGAAGTTACGGAATCTACAGGCACTGTAGGAATTTATTTTATTATTATTTTTTTATTTTTTGAGACAGAGTTTCACTCATGTTGCCCAGGGTGGAGTGCAACGGTGTGATCTCAGCTCACTGCAACCTCTGCCTCCCGGGCTCAAGTGATTCTCCTGCTTCAGCCTCTTTTTTTTTTTTTTTTTTTTTTTTTTAGAAGAAAACCTAGGCAATACCATTCAGGACATAGGCATGGCAGCCTCTTGAGTAGGTGGGATTAATTCTGTATTTTTAGTAGAGAGGGGGTTTCTGCATGTTGATCAGGCTGGTCTTCAACTCCTGACCTCAGTGATCCGCCTACCTTGACCTTCCAAAGTGCTGGGATTACAGGCGTGAGCCACTGCGTCTGGCCTTATGCTGTAGGAATTTTTCACTGACTCCTACATTCTCTACCCTTCCTTCCTTCCTTCCTTCTTTCTTTCCTTCCTTCCTTCCTTCTTTCCTTCCTTTGTTCCTTCCTTGCTTTTGAGTAAAAAAGAGCTATAATTCTCCATATATGTAACTAATAGTATATCTATTCTTGCCTTGTTTTCTAGGATGTGTTCCCAGATAGAAAGAGAAAACTGGGTTCCACTACTTGGGTCAGGACTTACTGGTTGCAAGTAACAGAAACTCATGCACACCTAACTGAGAAAACGGATGCATTTCAGCCATTTATGCAATAAATATTTATTAAGCACTTACTATATTCCAAGAATTCTTCTAGGCTCTACGGGTATATCAGTGAACAAAACATTGTTTAAAAAAAGAATGAACAAGAAGATGAGCGAATCTCATAGAATCCAAAGATCGGCAAGCAGCAGGGCTGTGGGGAGGGACAGAAACCGGGGACTAAGAGGCTGTCAGGAATCCAAACAGCAGCTCTAAGCCAATCTCCATTCTGCTCACTCTGCCTTCTCTTAATTCTTAGTCTGCATGGTGGGTAGAACATGTTCACCCACACAGCCTGAGTTTTCTTCTGCTACTTATGCACACAGTTCACACTGAACCACAGTCTCTCAGTTCTAATTCCAAAAACCCAGGCAAAAGAATTGGAATTCACTGAAGTCAGGGACACTCTTATCCCTGTGTTTTGGGGGCCATTGTGAGTGAAGCAGGCACCTCGATTCAAAGGTTTCTACCTTGCAAGCCTTCCTGTCACTGCTGCCCATCCATCTTAGGCTTATTGATGCTTTTTAGACACATTGCCTCTCATCCATGCCAAAGCACCTGCCCACTGCCCCAGAGCCTTAAAAGTTACCTCCACCTTGAAGAGCACATTTTTTAAAGCCCTGTAAAAATTGCCTGGGTTCAGGTCATTTTGAAGTTTTTCAAAGCACTCTTGTACCCTCATGAGTATCTATTTCCCATACAACCCTTTTCCTTGTCTTCTAGATAATGGGAGAGAATCAAGGCTCAGTTAACATTGAGCTCCCTTCTCCCTTCAAGCCAAGCCTTCAGAAGCCAACACCAGCACTAATAAATTTGGTTCCAAAGTACACATTGCAGTGTAGGTCAGGATATTCTTTTATGACCCTTATAAACTAATAGCCAATGAGATACGGTTGTTCATGATTCTTTTCCAAACCTCCTCTTTGTTTCAAACCAATAGATGTTTTTTCATTCAGAGATGTACTGAATTGCTGACCTGTGGCTAATCTGTTTTTCTCCAGGCTGTGGATTCCCCTCCAAGTGGAGGAGGATGGGCAAGCTGGGGATCCTGGGGCAAATCCCTGCTGTCATCAGCATCTGCCACAGTAGGTAAGCATTGTATGTTGCACTGGAATAGACAAAGTCCCGAAGCCTAATAGGATAGGACGTTTTGATCCTACCATATACTAATAGAGTTTAACATTAGCCCGTGAGCAAACCATGTTTACTGCTTACTATTCTAAGTGCTTCATTTATTCCTCCAATACATTTGTTCCTCAAAATAACCCTATATGAAGGAACTGTTGTTCGCTGCACTTTACAGATAAGGAAGCTGACTTAGAGAGACTAAGACCTTGACCAAAGTCAGGGATGTCTGGGTTGCAATTCAAAAACCAAGTAGTATGGCTTTTAGCCACTGTATTTTACTGTCTTTTAAAATGCAATATATTCTTAAAGCTTTGTGTTTATCATCCCACTTGAAGTTTTTTTAATGTACAACTCATCTACTCCCAAAAAGGATTTGAAGTATCTTGAAAAAGGCATTTCATTAGCAGGATATTGAAATATAAGTAGAAAACAACGTGCTGGTGGGAGGATGTATATATTTTATATATCCCAAGGCTGATAAAGTTTTTGCAGTTGAGTATTGACCTCAACTCTGAGCTTCTTGGCTGCCAGTACATTATTTATTTCTCTTTGAAAACAAAATTTTAATTTAAATAAATATATTTTTCTGGTTTAAAATTTTTAAAGGCATTTCCCGTATTTCTTCTTATATAAAGAGAAACTATGATGGACAGTGTAGTGTCTTACTGAGTGCAAATTTGTCAGGATATTTTTCATGTTACCATTTCTTATATTCTCTCTTCATGAAAACTGAAGGTATAACATCAATACGTCTAAGATAATTTAGCAAAGACATTTCATCTTGAAGGTAGAAGGTAAGGAGAAGGCAGGGGAAGCCGCAGTGAACAGAGTTTTCACATCATCCACTTCAGGTATTCCAAGGTACAGCCCATGGCCATGAGGATCTTGCCATGGGCCATGAATTGGTCGCTTAAGGCCTTCTCAGTGGACCATGACCACAGTGTTAAGGGCCAGATAGCTAACTTGATAGAGCTTAGGCTGCCTAGAAGAATGGATAGATTGCCTTCCTCTAATTCCATCTCTGTCAATGATCAGTTTTCTTAGGAAGCCTCTGGGAAGAAGTAGCAGAGGCCAAATAAATGTTGACCTCTCTGGTAAGAGCCTGGCGAGCATATTTTCTCTATTGCCTATTGAAGGGGATGGGTATGCCTTGAGTACTACATATGCAGATGACAAAATTAACCAAATTCAAGCAGAAGTGCCTGTTTTGTTTTTCTGAACAAGGCAGTATCTCTTCACAGGGGTGAGGATAAGCATCTGCAGGCATGCTCTGTCCTTGGAAAAATGTTTGAACTTTTAGTGGCTATTGAAAGGGTCTTGCCACCAGTGGCACTTAGAAGTGGCATGCTTTCTGAGCCAAAATCTAAAAAGGGGGTTCTAAAAGATTGTTTTCATGGGAATAAGTCACTGGAAAAGTAAATAATATGGTCACTAAAACTATACAGCTCTTCTCGTGGCTTATATCATAAAACAGTTAAGTGTCCAGGGTGTTTCCCGTTTTAACGGTATCCAAAAACACTCTGGCTTATAATGAATTTGGTGCTTCGAGGGTTCTACTATAGATGGAGGACTTACTCTTTCACTAAACTTTTAAATATAAGCTTCTGCCACAGTAAATACAGAACTCATCTGCCCTGTCGGTAGCAGTTGCAGGTGCTCTTTGCACACACGTGCATCTGCCTGTAACTGCTCTATCCCTGGTTGGTCAGACAGTTTGCTATTGTTTCTCATTCTGTGGCTGTACCTCATTTGTTTTGGGGCTCTGTTGGATGCTCCCAAGGTTTTCTGTCCCAGGGACTGACAGCTCAGCCCTTGAATTTACTGTCCAGCATCTTCTTTGGTGTCCTGTTGTAATGTGACCTTTGCACACATGCAGCTTTGGTTCCAGTGGACTGTGGGTTTTGTTACCTGGCTCACATGTAACCAGTAGGTGATGCTGACGTTACTCTTTAACAAGCAGAATGTGGCCAGGCTTGGTGGCTCACACCTGTAATCCTGGCACTTTGGGAGGCTGAGGTGGGTGGATCATTTGAGGTCAGGAGTTCAAGACCAGCCTGGCCAACATGATGAAACCCTGTCTCTACTAAAAATACAAAAGTTACTGGGCATGGTGGTGGGAGCCTGTAGTCCCAGCTACACAGGAGGCTTAGGCAGGAGAATCACGTCACTTCAACCCAGGAGGTGGAGGTTGCAGCGAGCCAAGATTGTGCCACTGCACTCCAGCCTGGGCAACAGAACAAGACTCTCTCTCAAACAAACAACAACAAAAAAGCAGGATGTGATTTTTTCATGGCAGGTTCCTTTTGACTTGATCTCATCTCATTGTCTTAATCTGCGGCCTGAGCTTATGTTTGGGGTTGCTCTCTAAGTTTCTCTGTGTCTAAGCCACCATGCAGATGATAAATACTGCATCTTGTTACCCTCACAACAGTTTATAAATTCTAGTGGTTCTCATCCGGCTCTGAGTAGTCATTGATCCAGAAGAGCCTAGAGGGATAACTTCCTGTCGGCCATCGTGATCATATTTTTCTTGGCACATGATCATTGTGCCAAGAAAAATCACATCCTGCTTTTTAAGCAGTAGAGTCAGCACCATCTACTGGTTATATTTGAGCCAAGTAGGAAAACCTGTAGTCCTTGGAGCACAGTCCACTGGAACCAAGGCTGCATATGTGCAAAAGTCAGATTACAACAGGACATCTAAGAAGACTGGATAGTAAACTCAATTGCTCCTAGGCTGCTGGATAGTAAATTCAAAGGGCGAGCTGTCAGTTCATGGACAGAAAAACTTGCCAGTTTTCCTCTAAGGTGAGTGAACTCGTGGTTTCTCTGGGAGTGTATGACATTTGCACATTCCTCATGCAATATCAGAATGAAGTTTAGTATACCCTCTTGTATCAGTTTCTATTGCTGTTATAAGGAATTACCATGAAGTTAGAGGCTTAAAACAACATGCATTCATCATTTTACAATTTCCATGAGTCAAGAGTTCAGGTATGGGACAGCTGCTCAGTGTCTTACCAGGCTGAAATCAGCGTGGCAGCCAGCTGTATTCTCACCTGAGGCTCACATTTGCCTGAGGCAGTCTAGCCCTGGGATTGACACCATGTTTGTACATAATGGAAGTTGTGCCTCTCTTGCCTCTCTCAATCCTAAGATAGTGGCTCAACATAGACCACAGATCAGGAAGGCACTCATAACTTTAATGTATCTGGAGGACATGTTGGTGCAGCTAGGAGGGAGCCCAGAGACGAGGCTGAGGCCAAAGCTCTGCCGGCTGCTCAGCTGGCACCTCTGCTTTGAAGACATCATCTTTTGGGGTCATTCACATTGTTGGCAGATTCAGTTTTTGAAGTTGTAGGACTGAGGTCCCTGTTTTCCTACTGGTTATTGACCAGGGGTCACTTTCAGCTCCTAGATGCTGCCCTCAGGTCCTCCTTCAAAGCTAGCAGGAAAATCTCTCTCACACTTTAAATCACTACCTTCAGGAAGGGCCCCTTCATGTTAAAGATAATCCTGATTAGTTCAGGCTCCCTAAGATGATCTCTCTTTGGAGTCACTGAAATTCAACTAATCAAGGACTTTAATTACATCTGAAAATTCCCTCATCTTTGCTGGATAGAGTAACCTAATCACAGGAGTGAAATCCCATCCTGTTTATACTCCTGCTCACACTCCAAAGGGAGTGTGTATACATCACATAGGGTATATACATCTGGGACAAGAATCTTGAGGGCCGTCTCTCAATACAGTCATGCTTTACTTAACAGTGGAAATACCTTCTGAGAAATGGGTTATTAGGTCATTTAGTCATTGTGCAAACCTCACAGGGTATACACAAGCCCACACAGCTAGGCTATGCAGTAGAGCCTATTGCTCCTAGGCTGTAAACATAGGACAGCCTATTACTGTATGAATACTGTAGGCAATTGTAACACCATGATAAGTATTTGTGTATTTAATATATCTAAACATAGAAAAGGTGCAGTAAAAATACAGCATTATATAATCTTATGGGACCACTGTCATAGATGTGACCCCGTCGTTGACCAATAGTTTGTCATGTGGTGCTTTCCACCTACGTTAATTCTCTTCTTTTCTCTGTTTGAGATCTTCGTCAGTTACACTATCAATTCCAGACTTAGTATTTTTATGGCTCTGGCTACATGCTGGAATTTTGAAAAGCAAGTGAATCTTGGCATTTTTCTATTGTTTACCTACAAAATGGCAAAGGGTACATGAGGAAGGTCATTAAAATTTTGAAATACTGATGCTCATTCTAAAAATCTCTTTGGAGAAATTTTAGAGCTATCTTTAGAAAAGCCAGTACTGAAATTGTTCATCACCATGATGAAAACCAGCAGTGGTGGTTGGGAGTTTGATGCCTGAAAGGTAACAGGGGTCATACATAGCCCACACATGGAACCAGGTTCACAGCCTAAAACAGGTTGGAATGGGGCTCAAGGATCTGCAACAGGCGGGGCGCGGTGGCTCAAGCCTGTAATCCCAGCACTTTGGGAGGCCGAGGCAGGTGGATCACAAGGTCAAGAGATCGAGACCATCCTGGTCAACATAGTGAAACCCTGTCTCTACTAAAAATACAAAAAATTAGCTGGGCATGGTGGCGCATGCCTGTAATCCCAGCTACTCCGGAGGCTGAGGCAGGAGAATTGCCTGAACCCAGGAGGCGGAGGTTGTGGTGAGCCGAGATCGCGCCATTGCACTCCAGCCTGGATAACAAGAGTGAAACTCCGTCTCAAAAAAAAAAAAAAAGAAAAAGATCTGTGACAGAGACTTTAAAGTTATGGGTGCCTTCCTGATCTGTGGTCTACATTAAGCCAATATGGCCTTACAGCATTAGCAGTTTCTTATCACCAGGCAAAGAAACTTATTAGAAAACAGATCACTCACAGTAGTAGACAAGCTCTTGAAGATTTATAAATTGCCTGTGGAAAGTAAAG